ACTAAGTCCGGGACTCAAACAGTGGTTAACTATGTAGGAGTTCAGCAATATAACCATTACACCATCTGCTATCCCAACCATAGTTAATGTTTTGACAAAATTTACAACTGACAAAGAAATTTGGTTATATCCTAGTTTCACAATAATAACCTACAACATGACTATATAAATATTCTACTATGATTTCCTGGGAATCTCAAATTATTTGGGAATATAATACTGTTATAGTCTACTCAATGAGAAATAAGAGGACATCCAGATATTGCCAAATTTATTGAAGTTTATTGATTAAGCTGTCTCATGTCTCTCAAAACCCTGCAGCCCAAGTGAAAAGAGAAAAGGAGTTTATATAGGCTATAATCATGATTTATCTCAAGTTGACATGTTGACAGAAACAAAGTGAAGGGATTTTAAGAGAGATAGGGAGTAGGGTTTTTCTTTCTTCAAAGCAATAAAGCCAGTTACAGAAGCAAAGCAAGCAGGTCAGTCATTCCTAAGGGTATATTCTGAACACAATGATCTCTTAAGGGCTCCCTGGTAACAGCCAAGGTATGCTGGTCACTGTTTGTTTCTTAAGGCACCTGAGAGTGGGGTTACTTTTGATCTTACCTACTTTAGTGGGAAGGGGAGAAGGAGGCCCAATTTCTAAGATGGAAGCACCCTTTCAAAATGGAGTTGCGGTTGCTTCAATACAAGTATATATCATGTTTATACTTATAACACAAATATAATTCAAAGAAAATTAGAATTACTTAATTTGACAATGCTTTTCATTTTTGTTTAGCATATAAAGAATATGCCTGATTAGTTTAGCATTTCCATTTTGGATTTTTCAGGGGCCCTCTGTTAATATTCAAGATTTACTTTGAGGTCAAGATCTTAATTTTGAATTTGACTTGGGAGAGACCTTGTCAAAGACAATGAGAAGTTTAGAGACTTGACTTAACTGCCAGCATGAAATGCGAGTTGAATGTCATGAATTTATTTTCCTGTTAGATAATCAACCATGTAAATGCACTGCACATCACATAAATACTAGCTCTCTCATTATACCAACTACATTAAGACAAACATGATGTTGCCTGATTAATAAAATTCTAGTCAAAATATATTTTGGAAATTATGAAGATTTTCACTTATTAAACTTTTTCACTCATTATATTTGAAGTTGGCTTATTTACTAAAGTTATATGAACTTGAACTTGAAAATCATTTAAACTAATTTGTATGAGCATTTTTTGGGTTTTGTTTTGGGAGATTTTTTTTTTTTTTTTTGCTAAAGGGCGTGTGTGCTCCCCAGAAAGACAGAGAGAGAGAAAGCGAGAAATCACCCCCCAGGGGGGGATGACCATGCTGCAATCCCTTTTCCTCCATTCTCCTCTCTGAATCTTGGACACACACACACATGTGCCTGGTGTGAGTTTAAGCCAACAAGCCTGGGACTTGAATCGTGTTCTACTACCTGGAAGTCCTGCGACACAGCCATTATGCCAACTGCTGGTCCCAAAACTGAATAGAATTTTTAAGGCCTTTTTCTACACAGACATATGACAGACATATAGTACATAACAAGATCTATTACATGTATGGATGCACACATATGTCAGGATTAGCCAGAGACATTTACTCTCACACACACATCAAAGGTTAATACATTCCCTCCACTCTCCTGGGAGACCCCTGACTGATGGTGTTCTGACTGTAAGAGGTTGAACAATTCTCTTCTTCCACCAACTTGCATCAGCTGTGTCTGATGTTCTTGGACTTACAGATTCTAGTCATCTGTTCCAAAGCAGTTGATCCATCCCCAGGGTGGATGTTCCCCCAGGCAAAGGAAGACCTAAGACTAGTTTAGGTGGCACACAGCTTTATTTGGCTCACAGGGGTCCTTCTCTGGGGCCCCAGTGGCTCAAGGGGCCAGATCAATTGCTTCCCGGTGAGGGAACCAGAAATGTTGTGGAATTCAGACCGCCAACCAGCTAACAGAGAGATCAAGCAACATTCAGAGAGTTGAACTCAGGTTTATTTTGCTGACAGGCCCAAAGGGGTTATCACTCCTGACTCTGAGCCCAGAGCCAGCCCTGGTACCTGCTTTTAGGAGCTGTACGGCGGCAGGAAGTTGAGGGGATTTTGCAGGGGCAGTGCATGGCTTTAAGTCTTAAGCAAAGTTCTCTAAACATTTTTTTGAACTTTGATTTATTAAAGCTAAAACAGCCTTTCTTGAAATTAAAAAACATATTATAAAATACCTATTTAATGACCACAGTAAATTATATAGCCTCAGCTAGGTGCTATTTTATAGTATATTCATTCTACTCAAAGTTTTATGCCTAAAGTCAAACATTTGTTCACAGATATTTATATATCAACTGAATTTGCTATTGAAAGTAGTTAGATCAATTAAAATATTTTGTTAACCAATAAAATGTGGAAGAAAAAAAAAAGGAATGGAAAGCAACTGCAGATACCAAAGATAGAGTGGGAAGAGGGTGGGATATGGCAGAGCGTGAGAAATGGGGGCAGGAAAAATATACACACATATACATATATATATCAAATAAGACATGGAAAATTATTTGTGATGATATTCATGACTAAACCACTATATAGTACATTCTGGATGGGAAACTGTATGTTGTACACTGAGATGATGTTCAATGAATGAATGTACAATAAAGAATTATTAAAAAAAGGTAAGTAGGGGCCGGCAGGTGGTATGGTGGTCGAAGGTACTGGACTCCCACATGGCCGACCATGATTCAAGTCCCCAAACTGGTGGCTTGCCTTCTCACTTTCCCCCTCTCTCTCTTTCTCTCTCACTCTGTCCCTCTCTGGTCAAATTGGAGTGAATAAATGAGTAAATATAAATAAATAAATAAAACAAGTTGAAGATAAACAAAACTAGTCACAGCCTGCCTTCTGGACTTCTGGGGAAGGGTGGCATGCTGTAAGTGAATCAGAAGCAGAAGTTAAGTCAGTGAGTATCTCAGATAATCTCTTCCTTCTCCTTTCCTGGTGCAAGTTATCTGAATGTTTTCAACCTGCGAATTGGTCCATCACTCTACTGAGTCCTGTGAGGGTCAGTTGCCTATGGGGCTTCAGGGACCCCAATGAAGGAGGACCCAAGAAAAGACCTGATGGTGCCCCCTCATTCAATTCTGGTGCTCTTTTGTTCCTGCAGTCTCTTCCCGCCAAGCATGGTGGCTCAAGGGACCAGTGCAGGTGGTTTCCCAGTCAGGGAACAAGAAAAGTCACTGAAACAGACCGCAGAGAAACCAAGTCCACTCAAAGAGTAGGAAAGCTCAGGTTCATAGGCTGGCAGTCCCAGAGGAGCTCATGCTCTCTAGTCTGGGCCCAGCATGGCACATGGAAATTACAGGCATTATATAGTCTGGGTCATGGATATTGTAGACTGGAAGAGTTGCAAAACAGCCACAAAATACTTGCAATCTAGCTTGTAACATTTCCCCTCAGGCAATTTACAAAGGTGGAATGGAAATAATCCTTATGTTAAATATATCTGCCAAAATCCTTTTTTTCCAAAGAAGGATGCATGAGGATGTCAGATAGAGATATATTTTGAGGAGCCAACGTATAATCCGTTACACATGAGGATGAATAGTCGATGGCAAAAAAAGTAGAAGCTTCCAGTACTAAATCAGTATTACCAAGCTACAGCGAGAGGAAACCATGTCCCTGGAGAATGAAGATCTGCACGATAGAGAAGTGCACCTCTTTAGAACTGGCTGTCTTTATTTTATTTATTTTATTTTTTTGAAGAAGTTTTTGCTATAGGGCATGTGAGCTTACCAGAGAAGGAGAGACAGAGAATCAGAAAGCGAGAAATCACTCCCCAGGGGGCATGGCCACGCTGCAATCCCTTCTCCTCTATTCTTCTCTCAGGATCTTGGGCAGGCATGCACACGCACCCGGCGTGAGTTCAGCCACTGGGTCCGGACTCGAACCACAGTCGACTACATGGAAGTCCAGCAACATAGCCATTACGCTAACTACTGGTCCCATGGAATTGCTTGTCTTTAAAGGACATGGACTGAGACAGGGAAAAATGCGAAGAAGCCCTTATTACCCTCCATCATCTTTACTGCTTCTGGAGTACCTCACTGGTTAAATCCAACCACAGGGTCAGAGAACAGTCCAAAATACATTTGAAGGATTGGGAGGGTTAAAGAAAATTTGTCACAAAGCATGACCCTGAACTCTGCTGATAAACACACATAGTTAACTTATAATCTATTCCTCCAGCAGTCTCCACCCAATAGTTAACCATGAAAGAAAGACTGATCTTCAAAATATGTAATCTACACTGGCTTTATCTGTCCCTCTGGTTACACAGGGGCCTTAAATAATCTCCATGAAAAAAAGGTTTCTACACAGTTGTGTGCATCATTATAATTTTATTATCATTATTTAGGAATAAAGAAACAAAAATAACTGTTTTTAGTGTAGGTACATGACAAAACTGTAAACAGACTATTTCTTTCTTTCTTTTTTTTTTTTTTCATTTTTGGGAG